TTGTGCCCCATTGACAGAATCCTGATCCTGTCAGCATTAGATCCTGTCTCTCCAGTCCAAAGTGTTTGCTCCATGGTTCAACAATAGCCACCTTGTCTTTTCAGGCCAGAAGGAACACAGAAAGCCCCTATTCTCTGCATCCAGCAGACTGCTGAAATATAGGGATATTAGAATTTTAACTAATACACCTTATTTCAGTTTGGTTTCTTTTCAGGCCAGAGGCGTTAACATAGCATACGCCTCCTGTAAGCATAGCATACGCCGCTCCCAAGCAGGCAGCAGGGTAGCACCAAGCACATCAGCAGCATGCTCATTTTGTGCGCCCCAATCACGATCGCCCAAGGACTCAATTGCCCTCGCCATCCAGAGTCCAGATTCAGTCTCCTCAGATTCCTTGCAGGCGCATGCCTCCACGGAAGCTGCTCGGATCCTGAGTGCCGCCCCAATGCAGGGCTTCCGTCAGGGCTCAGCGCTCAGGTGCTCATCAGTAATTCCAGTAGCTAGGATTCCGCACATCCAGTGGGCTCCAGTAGCTAGGATAGCCCCTTAAGGAGACGCAGGCATTTCAAAAGGACATTTATCCAATGTTGAGTCTGTTCCATGTAAGTCCACTTGTAATGACCCGATTCCTCTAGTACCCGATTCCTCTAGTACGTTCGCAGTGGATGCCACCTCAAAGCCGCACAGTCAGTTCATTTAGCCGCCATTTAGCCGGACTCTTATCCACTCAACTGCTTGCCGGATGACCGCGCTCCCAAGCGCCATTTCTCATAGACCACTCATTGACGCCTTCCTCCTGGGCACAGTGCAAAAGTTCCTTTCCTCATCGCTGTGGTCGTCTCCTCGGTCAGCATATATCAAGATCGCCCCGTGAGGGGACGCCAGCAATCTTCAAGGAAGCCCCTACAGGATGGGTCCATTCCATCTTCGGGCACCGCCGATTGTCCACCTTTGTCGCGACGTCTATCACCATCTCGGGAGCGTGGGCCTGCTGAAGTTTTGGGGGCCATCTGCCAGTAGCAAACAACCAGTAGCTGCGTCAGCTGCAGTCTCATCCTTGCGGACCAGAGGGAGCAGCAGGAATCCATAAATTACTGATTCTGTAGACTACTGAAATATAGGAGCGTTAGAAATGTTGGCAAATGTATCTAATTTCGGTTTAATTTCTTTTCTTTTTCATGTCGGAAGTGTTTATGCAGCGAACATTCCCTGTATACGGCAGCGCCAGAGGCACCACCCGATCCTTTCAGGAGTCAGCATCGCCGGCTGTAGAAAAGGCCAATTCGACAAACAAACCCAACGCTTTGAGGTTGCAGCGTAGAGGGCCTGCTTGTGCGAAGGCAGTTCTAGAAGTGGAACCCCAGCAAGCAGCCCAGGTGTGGGTAATCTCCTTATGGTTCCGATGTCCACTCCTCGTTCCTGTCATCTGACAGAAGGAAGATGACCGCAATCACCCAGATGTCAGTTGCCGAGCCTCAAGAGAAGTCCGAATTTGGATCCTTCCGCCTCCGTGCCAAACAACGAGGCGCAGCGTGCGCCTCTGTAGCGGGTAGTTGATGGCGTTTTCTGTTTATCCGTGAGTTGCCACTATTTTGCTATAATTTCTGTCGTCTGGAAGCTTGGTTCTAATTTTTTCCTTTATTTTCCTTTCAGGACAGGTGCCATTACCTTCGTCGCTAGCTGAGGAACCAAAGGATTCGTTGTAAACAACCGCCCTGGCTGATTGGAGAAAGATTTGTTTCCGCATCCTCGCCTCTCCTAAGCAGGCAGTAGAGCAGCCACCAAATACAATCAGCTGCATCCTTATTGGATAGGCGCCACTCTGAAGCAGGTAGCTGATGGCGCCTTTTATTTATCCGAGAGTTGCAAACCATTTTGCGATAATTTCTGTCGTTTGGATACTTGATTCTAATTTTCTACTTTATTTTCTTTTCAGGACAGGTACCAATACCTTCATTGCTAGTTGAGAAAGCCAGGATCCGTTGCCAATAACCGCCCTGGCAGATTGGAGAAAGATCAGTCCCTGCATCCATGTCTCTTCTAAGCAGGCAGCGGAGCAGCCACCTAGAATAATCAGCAGTATCATTATTGTGCGTGCCCTGGAGAGAACGCCCAAGGACTCAATCCCCCTCGTCATTCAGAGACCGCATTCAGTCTCCTCAGGGTCCCTGCGGTGAGTGCCTCCATTAGTTCCGTACGGAACCTGCGTGCCGCTCCAAAACAGGGCTTATGTCAGGCTCATCGTCCAAATGGTCAGCTTCGCAGCCAGATGCCAGCATTCTGCATCTCCAGCGGGCTCCGTCCCTTGAGTTCCGTCCCCACAGCGAGTTCCAGGCATCCATTACTACTCGTCATCTCCTCGGCCAGCAGCATCCATGATCGCCCCGTGAGGAGACACCAGCAATCCCCGAGTGCGCCCATAAAGGCTTTTTGGAGGCCATTTGCCAGCAGCGACCTCGTGAAGTGCAGTCTAAAGTGTCAGATCGTGTCTATCCGGCCCAAGATGTGTACTCCATGGTGCGAAGCCAGTCATTCTGCCCTTCCGGACTAGAAGGAGTAGCACTGCATCTACCAAACTTCTAGGAATTCAGGGACCCCAGAGATTTGGCAAATTTATTTAATTTTCTTTTTTGGTTTCTTTTTCAGGACAGAAGCGTAAACATAGCGTGCGTCTTTCGTAAGCAGCAGAGCCTGAGTTGCAACAGATCATCAAAAAAGTCCACATAGCCGGCCTCGATGTAGACCAGTTCAGGAAGCAACGTCCACGTTTTGCGAGTGCAGGAAAGAGGGCCAGTCCGTTTGAATGTGGACCAGAAAATGGAGCCCCAGGGAGCAGCCCAGGTGTGGGCAATCTCCCTGTAATTTTGTTGTGCACTCCTCGTTCCTGTCTTCCGACAAAAGGAGGATGCCAATCGCCGCTCATGATGTCAGTGTTATCCTCAAGAATGAGCCAATTGGGCCTCTCGCCTTAGCGCCGTGCAAAATGTTCAAAAATTGGCCCCACGCGCCAATCCTCAAAAGGAGGCGACATCATCTTAAATTCTCCCGTGAGTCAAAAACCATTTGGCAATAATTTCTGATATTTTAGAGGCATGATTCTAACTTTTCCCTTTGTTTTCCTTTCAGGTCAGAAGCCATCGCTGTCATCGCCAGCCAAGGACCCTCTGGATCAGTTGTAGGAGGAACCACCATGGCAGATTGGAAGAACTATCCAATTGTGCAGTTTGCATCGTGTGTATGTAGGGGGTGTGTAGTCGGCTCCGCATCCTCTCCGCTCTCACGCAGACAGCAGAGCAGTCACCGAGGACAATCAGCAGGAACTCAAATCGGATCTTCAAAGGAGCCAACATAGCCGTCCACGATGAAGACCAGTTCAGGAAGCAACGTCCACATTTTTGCGAGTGCAGAAATGAGGGCCAGTCCGTTTGAGAGTGGACCAGGAAATGGAGCCACCGGGAGCAGCCCAGGTGTGGGCAATCTCCCTGTAATTTTGTTGTGCACTCCTCGTTCCTGTCTTCCGACAAAAGAAGGATGCCAATCGCCGCTCAAGATGTGTTATGTCTCGACTTATTTTTGGTGATCTAACCATCGGATTCCGGCTAGCAATCGGATTTCTCAAGCGTGAGTATGACCTCGATAGTTGGATCTGTCGGCACACAGTAATAATTTATTTTCTTCAGACTTGATGACAACTTTAAAAATGAAAGGAAACAAGGACTGCGGACCTGCTGTTGATGGCCGCGGAATATACCCCCCCTTCCTTGAGCTGCTGTATCTTTTAAGCAACTCCCCGACACTGGCTACTGGGTCTATTATGCGTCACCTCACCCCATTGTTAACACTCTACTCGCTCATTTTATTTTCCACTTTAATTCACAAAATGCTTATAAATAACATTCATTTAACTTCACAATTCCCTAACCTGGGTACCACAGGAACGATTACATCACACATGAATAAATAGTTATAAGTATAAATAAATAAATAAATAATAAATATATATAGGGTTACATGAGTATGTTAATTTATGTAGAAGTAGATTTGTAGTTTGTAGTGGGTGGTTATTGTTGATTATTTCGTGGGTTTATTAACTTTAAAACTAAACCCAGATGTGGGCGGCGATAATCAAATTTCCAATAGTTTTCTCCCAGTTTAATTCCTTTCCTCGCAGACTCCCAGATTTCGAATTTGGCGCCGGAAGTTTGGAATTTTGTTCCCAGAGACACGACTACTTTTTCTCAGCTTCTAGATGGTTCTCATTTGCCCTTTAGTTGCCCTTCTTGTAAGTCGGCTCAATTGCTTTTTCGAGAGAGAGTTTTCCGAAATTTAAAACTATCTTGAGCCCACTATTCTACTAGTTCCGCCACGAACCAGCACGACTCAGGAACCAGTTCTCCATTCCCAGGCCATCCCTAGTATCGGCATCTGTTGCTCCTCTCTAACCCAGGTACGCGGTCGTTTGGTATGTTTTGATTATATATAGATTTATTTTCTTTATTTTTGGCAGACCATAACACCACACTACGGTTTCGTTTACTTGTCAATGGAACAGGAGTACAATTGAGGCTGCCAGTAGCCCAACGCAGGACACGCCCACGCCCTGAGATATATTCGTCCTGCCGCTTTGAAAGGGTTAGCCGGGCCATTAATTGGGTACGAATTTGCACGTTTGCACATGTGTACCTATGCTGCAATTATTGTTTCAAATCTTTCGCATGAAATACTCCCAATCGTTTCCCTTGTAATGTTTCCCGCTCATATAGGTTATTCCCTACGGGTCTTACTATGCGGCACTTGGAGTACTTGCGACAAAACTTGGCATTTATGTTGTTCTTGAAATCGCTGAGGATGAAGTTTCGCTTAAAGATTTCTTGGCCAGGTAGGTACTTGATTTCTTTAGCTCTTCTATTGTATTGTTTGGCTGATCTCTCATATGTTTCATTAATGCGTTCTGTTACCTTTTCCCTTATTAGTTGAAGCCGATCCGTTCGAGATAGACTCTATATCTGGGCGTCGTTTACGGCGTCTAGTTTTCGGGCTATCCTATAATCTTGCCCGCTCAGGAACATGTGTTGGCCAAACATGGCAAAGTATGGGGAGACACCAGTGCTGTTGTGGACGGCACTCCGCAGAGAACCTTGAATCTCGACTATCTTGTCATCCCAACGTGTGTGGTCTTCCCCTACATGGATCCTAATAGCTGCAAGTACGGATTGGTTCACGCGCTCTGAGGCATTCGACTGTGGAGCATACCTGCCGGTCCTCTTATGACGAATTTGATACTTCTCCAGGAAACTTTGAAACCGGCTTGCTACAAACTGGACTCCGTTGTCGGTGAGTATTACCTCTGGAACACCAAACTCATGCCATATTTCCGACTCCAGATATCTGACGACTGCGTCTGCTGTCGCTTTTGGCATTGCTTTTAACCAAACAAACTTCGTCAGATGATCCAGCACTACCAATATGTAGCAGTTGCCCCTTTTTGACCGTGGATATTTTCCCAGGAAATCCATATACAGCTGCTGCATGGGCCGTGAGGTGATTGTTTGTTTGCCCATTTTCGGCCTAGTCATCTGGGTTGTGTGCTTGGTTTCCTTGCAGATGTTGCAGTCTTTAACGTAGTTTTTCACCTGGATTGCCATCTTGGGCCAGTAGTAGAACTGCCTAAGCCTGTTAAGCGTGCGACCTATGCCTCCATGCATCGCGGTATCGCTGTTGTGTGCTTGCTGGATTAAAGTATTTGTTAACACTTCCGGAATCCACAGCTTCCACGGAAATTCCTGTGTGTCCCCGGTCACAAATTGTATTCGCTTGAGCAAGAGCCCGTCTTCCACCACTAAATCTGGAAACTGCTCGGCATTTTCCTTCACCGTTTGGATTCTTTCCAGATACTCGGGACTTTCAAATTCAATGGTTTCAAAATCGAACACCTCAATGCCTTCTACCTCCGGGATACGGGACAACATGTCTGCCACCACGTTATCTTTCCCCTTCCGGTGCTCTATTTGGAAATCATATGCCTGTAACGCCAACGACCACCGCGCCAATCGTCCGTTTAGGTCTTTTAGCGTCATGAGCCATTGAAGACTTGAATGATCGGTGATGACTGTGAAGGGTAAGAGTTTTATATATGGGCGAAATCTATACACAGCTTTCACTGCGGCTAAGCACTCTTTCTCTGTCACCGTATAGTTCAATTGAGCTCCTCGCAGCTTCTGAGAGTAAAACGCTATCGGTCTCTCATTTCCATCCATATCCTTTTGGAAGAGAACCGCACCAATACCCACATGGATCGCGTCGCATTGGACGAAGAATCTGCTCTGAAAGTCTGGATGTATCAGCACGGGAGCTGAGGTGAGTGCTGTTTTCAGTTTGTCAAATGCCTCTTCTGCTGCAGGTGTCTACTTGAACTTGGTCTTTGACTTCAAACAGTCCGTCAGAGGCGCCGATACATCTGAAAAACCTCGAATGAATCGCCTGTACCATCCAGCTGTTCCTAGGAAACTCCTCAACTGTCTCACATTCTTTGGTACTGGGATCTTGGCTATTGCCTGAATCTTCCCTGGATCCGTCCTCAAGGACCCCTCTCCGATTACAAAACCCAGATACTTCAGGAATCGGAAGCAGAACTTGGATTTGTGTAGCCCGATCGTGAGGTTGATCCTTGAACGTTTTCGAAATAATCAACAGATCGTCTAGGTACACAAAGACGTTGCTCCTGAGCTTCTGAGGGATGACCCGGTCCATTAGTCGACATAGCCGTTGAGCAGCGTTACATAAACCAAACGGCATCCTCCGAAATTGATACAACGGCCTTCCCGGGATGGTGAATGCGGTGTACTCCCTGCTTTTTTTGTCCAGCTCAATTTGCCAGAACGTATGCTTTAAATCCACACTGCTAATGTAAATGGTTTCATCCACGCGGCTCAGAATCGACTCTATATTCTGCAATGGGTAAGCATCCTTGATCGTTACCTTATTGAGTTTCCTCGCATCTAAGCATAATCGGTTTTTTCCAGGTTTTTGGACCAGAGTAACTCTATTGTTCCATGGGCTTTCACTAGTCTCGATTACACCTAATCGCAACATTTCGTCTACTTCCGCATAGAGCAATTCCTGGACTTTTGGTGACACCGGATAGAACCTTTCCTTTACTGGGACTGTTCCCGCCTCCAGTTGTATGGAATGCGTTTCCAATTCCGTCAGTCCCATGCCGTGTCTTTCGTAAGTTAGAAACTTATCCTGCACTAACTCCAACTGTGTTTTCTCTTCCTCAGACAGGACGTGTGGTTCTACCGGTTCGCTCGTAACATGGAACTCATTCTCAATCGACGACAATTCACCTACCCCTACGACGTCCGGAGCTAATGAAAATTTCCGCCAAAAGTCTATTCCCAAATATAGTTTTTGCCGCAGTGAGGGACATAGGAGCAATGATATGCGGTGAGTTTCCTGTTTATAGCAAACGTCCACCTCTATGCGACCCGCTATCCGGTGTGTTGCACCGCCTGCTGTCTGTACTGTTGATCTCACTTTCAAAACTTCTAGTTTCAGCCGCTTTACCAGGTCCATACACCCGTCTCCTAGGATGCTCTTCGATGCTCCCGTGTCAAGTAGCCCCTGCATTGTATGATTTGCAACCAATACATCGGCAAACGCTCGGTTTTCCGTCGTAGCTGCTGATATTATAGCTGTGCAGACCTCTCTTCGTTCCTGTTTTCGTTGCTGGTAACGCCTCCGGGCTCGGATTATCCTCGACGACTTGCGGGAATGGCTATCTCCCCTTGGTTCTCCAAATATCCTTTCCCTTGCCTGCTGATAGTCGCGTTCCCTCTCTTCCATAGGTCTGGCCACGTATTTTGTTCCTATATTTACCTTGTTTATGTTTTTATTTATTAATATCTTCTTAAACACTGACTTATATTTATCTTTTAACATATCTTTCAGATCCTCGGAGGCAGTTAATTCATCGTCTTGGGATGGGAGCGGGACTCCTCCGGTTGCGTCAAGCTCCATCTCGCGTTTCCCGCCTGACATTTCGGACACCGAGTAAAACGTACTCCCTGTCGGCCGCATCTGTAGCAGAACTTATTAAGGACCTCCGAGTCGCACGTGTAATACGTGTGTCCCGGCATGGAGCAATTGTAGCAGACCATCGTACTTTGCGCTCCGCCTTCTCTGCCCCGGGAAATGGCCTCTACAAACTCGGAGTCCTCGTCCGGCTCCTGGGGTACATACGCCTCGTGAACCTGGTGCTTCTCCTTCGGTGGTCTCTGGTGCTCTTGCATCCCGGATGTGCGCGACCAGCGATTGGCCAAAACCCTCTCGGCTTCGTGGCATTCCTCCCTCAGTTGTTTCAGGTTAGTTAACCACATCGGATATATTATCCTCGATATCCCGTGTCTGATGTTCACTTTAATTGTCCTTATTAGGTCGTGGTCGGATATGTTGATGTCCAACTGGGATCGGAGGCTCAGCATCGCCTGCAGATACTCATCTACGCTCTCTCCTGGTCGTTGCTTTCGCTCGCGTAGTTCTCGCTCACGCTCGAAGTTCGAACGCAGCGTTTGGAAACGTTGTTGCAGCGCGTTTTTTAGATTTGGCCAATCCCTCAATCCCGTTGTGCGTACGTGCATCCAAAACCACTCCTTGGCCTGACCATCTACCAGGCAGTGAAAAGATCGAAGAACCTCTTCCCACGTGACTTGGTAAGCCATCTGTAGATGCTCTATCCGGAATATAAATTCACCAATTGGCATTCCCCTAGGTCCGCCATCGAAGGATATACCCCACTTCCTGGGATGGCTCATCTCGGGTTTGTAATCCCTATGCCCGCCACTTGGATTCCCATTCAAACTTCCGGCCGCTAAAACTCCTGGCCTAAACAAAGGCGGTGGTTGGCTATACTGATGCCAACCCGCCCATACCCTCTGTTGCTCTTCCCAGAGTCTGCCATCAGCTCGCTGCTGCGCTGGATTAGGCATGGCTGCTTCCATCGATGGTCTAGGAGGAGGCTCCTGAGTGTCTGCCTGTGCCTTCACTGTAGGGCGGACGATCTGATTGATTTCCTTCATGAAATTCATCATATCCTGTTGCATTTGCTTCTGGAAAGCAGAGACCTCAATGGACGCCGCTTTACGGTAAGTTTCATGAGCTTGTAATAGAGCTAAATTAATGGCTGACTCTATTTCTTTACCTAAATGCACAGGACGCTTCCCTTCCTCATCGCTAGTGAGATTGTGTTGGTCGCCGCGGGGAACTCCGTCGCTAGTATGTGCTTCCACGCCCCCACTGCTCCCGTCATATCCTGCCGGTCGCTAATCTCAAAGGCTGCGCTACCATCCATCATAAACCCCTGGGGAGGAATGATATCCTTTATCTCTCGGTTCACTTTCTGATTGGCTTGGGAACGTGTAGCTGGCGGAGTCATTATTTCGGATCCGCGGTTCAAAAAAAAACTCTAAACTTCTTCTAATTTTTCTATTAAATGTCTGCCTGTTTCTTTCGCCTTCTGACAAGGACCACGACCGCTGGATGTTGTAAGCTACCGATCCTGATCTCCTTTTGGTTGATTCTGACTTTTCGCCGTCTTTATAGGTGTTCCTTCTTCCGACGCCCTTGATGGGCCGCGCCGAACCAGGATATTTCTGTCTCCTGTCGGGGTCCCGGTCGTGGGCACCTCAGCGATCATCCTACGTGGCTGCGTCTCTCGCCTCTTAGTGGGACTTCTACGATTTGCTCTTGGTAGCAATTATCCAGGACCACCACTAGTTGTCGAGGACCGGCCGGAGATTCTCTTCCTTTTCTTTTTTTCTGTCTTTTTATATTGGGCGCCACTCTGTTATGTCTCGACTTATTTTTGGTGATCCAACCATCGGATTCCGGCTAGCAATCGGATTTCTCAAGCGTGAGTATGACCTCGATAGTTGGATCGGTCGGCACACAGTAATAATTTATTTTCTTCAGACTTGATGACAACTTTAAAAATGAAAGGAAACAAGGACTGCGGACCTGCTGTTGATGGCCGCGGAATATACCCCCCCTTCCTTGAGCTGCTGTATCTTTTAAGCAACTCCCCGACACTGGCTACTGGGTCTATTATGCGTCACCTCACCCCATTGTTAACACTCTACTCGCTCATTTTCTTTTCCACTTTAATTCACAAAATGCTTATAAATAACATTCATTTAACTTCACAATTCCCTAACCTGGGTACCACAGGGACGATTACATCACACATGAATAAATAGTTATAAGTATAAATAAATAAATAAATAATAAATATATATAGGGTTACATGAGTATATTAATTTATGTAGAAGTAGATTTGTAGTTTGTAGTGGGTGGTTATTGTTGATTATTTCGTGGGTTTATTAACTTTAAAACTAAACCCAGATGTGGGCGGCGATAATCAAATTTCCAATAGTTTTCTCCCAGTTTAATTCCTTTCCTCGCAGACTCCCAGATTTCGAATTTGGCGCCGGAAGTTTGGAATTTTGTTCCCAGAGACACGACTACTTTTTCTCAGCTTCTAGATGGTTCTCATTTGCCCTTTAGTTGCCCTTCTTGTAAGTCGGCTCAATTGCTTTTTCGAGAGAGAGTTTTCCGAAATTTAAAACTATCTTGAGCCCACTATTCTACTAGTTCCGCCACGAACCAGCCCGACTCAGGAACCAGTTCTCCATTCCCAGGCCATCCCTAGTATCGGCATCTGTTGCTCCTCTCTAACCCAGGTACGCGGTCGTTTGGTATGTTTTGATTATATATAGGTTTATTTTCTTTATTTTTGGCAGACCATAACACCACACTACGGTTTCGTTTACTTGTCAATGGAACAGGAGTACAATTGAGGCTGCCAGTAGCCCAACGCAGGACACGCCCACGCCCTGAGATATATTCGTCCTGCCGCTTTGAAAGGGTTAGCCGGGCCATTAATTGGGTACGTATTTGCACGTTTGCACATGTGTACCTATGCTGCAATTATTGTTTCAAATCTTTCGCATGAAATACTCCCAATCGTTTCCCTTGTAATGTTTCCCGCTCATATAGGTTATTCCCTACGGGTCTTACTATGCGGCACTTGGAGTACTTGCGACAAAACTTGGCATTTATGTTGTTCTTGAAATCGCTGAGGATGAAGTTTCGCTTAAAGATTTCTTGGCCAGGTAGGTACTTGATTTCTTTAGCTCTTCTATTGTATTGTTTGGCTGATCTCTCATATGTTTCATTAATGCGTTCTGTTACCTTTTCCCTTATTAGTTGAAGCCGATCCGTTCGAGATAGACTCTATATCTGGGCGTCGTTTACGGCGTCTAGTTTTCGGGCTATCCTATAATCTTGCCCGCTCAGGAACATGTGTTGGCCAAACATGGCAAAGTATGGGGAGACACCAGTGCTGTTGTGGACGGCACTCCGCAGAGAACCTTGAATCTCGACTATCTTGTCATCCCAACGTGTGTGGTCTTCCCCTACATGGATCCTAATAGCTGCAAGTACGGATTGGTTCACGCGCTCTGAGGCATTCGACTGTGGAGCATACCTGCCGGTCCTCTTATGACGAATTTGATACTTCTCCAGGAAACTTTGAAACCGGCTTGCTACAAACTGGACTCCGTTGTCGGTGAGTATTACCTCTGGAACACCAAACTCATGCCATATTTCCGACTCCAGATATCTGACGACTGCGTCTGCTGTCGCTTTTGGCATTGCTTTTAACCAAACAAACTTCGTCAGATGATCCAGCACTACCAATATGTAGCAGTTGCCCCTTTTTGACCGTGGATATTTTCCCAGGAAATCCATATACAGCTGCTGCATGGGCCGTGAGGTGATTGTTTGTTTGCCCATTTTCGGCCTAGTCATCTGGGTTGTGTGCTTGGTTTCCTTGCAGATGTTGCAGTCTTTAACGTAGTTTTTCACCTGGATTGCCATCTTGGGCCAGTAGTAGAACTGCCTAAGCCTGTTAAGCGTGCGACCTATGCCTCCATGCATCGCGGTATCGCTGTTGTGTGCTTGCTGGATTAAAGTATTTGTTAACACTTCCGGAATCCACAGCTTCCACGGAAATTCCTGTGTGTCCCCGGTCACAAATTGTATTCGCTTGAGCAAGAGCCCGTCTTCCACCACTAAATCTGGAAACTGCTCGGCATTTTCCTTCACCGTTTGGATTCTTTCCAGATACTCGGGACTTTCAAATTCAATGGTTTCAAAATCGAACACCTCAATGCCTTCTACCTCCGGGATACGGGACAACATGTCTGCCACCACGTTATCTTTCCCCTTCCGGTGCTCTATTTGGAAATCATATGCCTGTAACGCCAACGACCACCGCGCCAATCGTCCGTTTAGGTCTTTTAGCGTCATGAGCCATTGAAGACTTGAATGATCGGTGATGACTGTGAAGGGTAAGAGTTTTATATATGGGCGAAATCTATACACAGCTTTCACTGCGGCTAAGCACTCTTTCTCTGTCACCGTATAGTTCAATTGAGCTCCTCGCAGCTTCTGAGAGTAAAACGCTATCGGTCTCTCATTTCCATCCATATCCTTTTGGAAGAGAACCGCACCAATACCCACATGGATCGCGTCGCATTGGACGAAGAATCTGCTCTGAAAGTCTGGATGTATCAGCACGGGAGCTGAGGTGAGTGCTGTTTTCAGTTTGTCAAATGCCTCTTCTGCTGCAGGTGTCTACTTGAACTTGGTCTTTGACTTCAAACAGTCCGTCAGAGGCGCCGATACATCTGAAAAACCTCGAATGAATCGCCTGTACCATCCAGCTGTTCCTAGGAAACTCCTCAACTGTCTCACATTCTTTGGTACTGGGATCTTGGCTATTGCCTGAATCTTCCCTGGATCCGTCCTCAAGGACCCCTCTCCGATTACAAAACCCAGATACTTCAGGAATCGGAAGCAGAACTTGGATTTGTGTAGCCCGATCGTGAGGTTGGCGTTTTGTAAGCTCTTGGCAACCTCGGTAAGTATCCGCATATGATCCTTGAACGTTTTCGAAATAATCAACAGATCGTCTAGGTACACAAAGACGTTGCTCCTGAGCTTCTGAGGGATGACCCGGTCCATTAGTCGACATAGCCGTTGAGCAGCGTTACATAAACCAAACGGCATCCTCCGAAATTGATACAACGGCCTTCCCGGGATGGTGAATGCGGTGTACTCCCTGCTTTTTTTGTCCAGCTCAATTTTCCAGAACGCATGCTTTAAATCCACACTGCTAATGTAAATGGTTTCATCCACGCGGCTCAGAATCGACTCTATATTCTGCAATGGGTAAGCATCCTTGATCGTTACCTTATTGAGTTTCCTCGCATCTAAGCATAATCGGTTTTTTCCAGGTTTTTGGACCAGAGTAACTCTATTGCTCCATGGGCTTTCACTAGTCTCGATTACACCTAATCGCAACATTTCGTCTACTTCCGCATAGAGCAATTCCTGGACTTTTGGTGACACCGGATAGAACCTTTCCTTTACTGGGACTGTTCCCGCCTCCAGTTGTATGGAATGCGTTTCCAATTCCGTCAGTCCCATGCCGTGTCTTTCGTAAGTTAGAAACTTATCCTGCACTAACTCCAACTGTGTTTTCTCTTCCTCAGACAGGACGTGTGGTTCTACCGGTTCGCTCGTAACATGGAACTCATTCTCAATCGACGACAATTCACCTACCCCTACGACGTCCGGAGCTAATGAAAATTTCCGCCAAAAGTCTATTCCCAAATATAGTTTTTGCCGCAGTGAGGGACATAGGAGCAATGATATGCGGTGAGTTTCCTGTTTATAGCAAACGTCCACCTCTATGCGACCCGCTATCCGGTGTGTTGCACCGCCTGCTGTCTGTACTGTTGATCTCACTTTCAAAACTTCTAGTTTCAGCCGCTTTACCAGGTCCATACACCCGTCTCCTAGGATGCTCTTCGATGCTCCCGTGTCAAGTAGCCCCTGCATTGTATGATTTGCAACCAATACATCGGCAAACGCTCGGTTTTCCGTCGTAGCTGCTGATATTATAGCTGTGCAGACCTCTCTTCGTTCCTGTTTTCGTTGCTGGTAACGCCTCCGGGCTCGGATTATCCTCGACGACTTGCGGGAATGGCTATCTCCCCTTGGTTCTCCAAATATCCTTTCCCTTGCCTGCTGATAGTCGCGTTCCCTCTCTTCCATAGGTCTGGCCACGTATTTTGTTCCTATATTTACCTTGTTTATGTTTTTATTTATTAATATCTTCTTAAACACTGACTTATATTTATCTTTTAACATATCTTTCAGATCCTCGGAGGCAGTTAATTCATCGTCTTGGGATGGGAGCGGGACTCCTCCGGTTGCGTCAAGCTCCATCTCGCGTTTCCCGCCTGACATTTCGGACACCGAGTAAAACGTACTCCCTGTCGGCCGCATCTGTAGCAGAACTTATTAAGGACCTCCGAGTCGCACGTGTAATACGTGTGTCCCGGCATGGAGCAATTGTAGCAGACCATCGTACTTTGCGCTCCGCCTTCTCTGCCCCGGGAAATGGCCTCTACAAACTCGGAGTCCTCGTCCGGCTCCTGGGGTACATACGCCTCGTGAACCTGGTGCTTCTCCTTCGGTGGTCTCTGGTGCTCTTGCATCCCGGATGTGCGCGACCAGCGATTGGCCAAAACCCTCTCGGCTTCGTGGCATTCCTCCCTCAGTTGTTTCAGGTTAGTTAACCACATCGGATATATTATCCTCGATATCCCGTGTCTGATGTTCACTTTAATTGTCCTTATTAGGTCGTGGTCGGATATGTTGATGTCCAACTGGGATCGGAGGCTCAGCATCGCCTGCAGATACTCATCCACGCTCTCTCCTGGTCGTTGCTTTCGCTCGCGTAGTTCTCGCTCACGCTCGAAGTTCGAACGCAGCGTTTGGAAACGTTGTTGCAGCGCGTTTTTTAGATTTGGCCAATCCCTCAATCCCGTTGTGCGTACGTGCATCCAAAACCACTCCTTGGCCTGACCATCTACCAGGCAGTGAAAAGATCGAAGAACCTCTTCCCACGTGACTTGGTAAGCCATCTGTAGATGCTCTATCCGGAATATAAATTCACCAATTGGCATTCCCCTAGGTCCGCCATCGAAGGATATACCCCACTTCCTGGGATGGCTCATCTCGGGTTTGTAATCCCTATGCCCGCCACTTGGATTCCCATTCAAACTTCCGGCCGCTAAAACTCCTGGCCTAAACAAAGGCGGTGGTTGGCTATACTGATGCCAACCCGCCCATACC